ACGTTACTTACCTTACTTACTTTAACTTACTTTACTATTATTAGTACGTCGTACCCAACCTACTTACGTTTACCGTTTTACCTTACGATATAGTGTATATATATATATATATATATATATATATATATAGCAAAATTTGGTAAGGTAGAATAATGTGGAATTGTGATTCCTAATTTCTAGGAGTTGAGATTTGTAGTGATTCTTTATCATAAACAAGAAATCGAATTTCTGAACTAGAATCGCTACCTAGGGGGGATGATTCCGGTAACTATAAGCTAGTCCCATAACCAACCCAACAGACCTAGGCACAGAAATGTCAGTTCATTATTAGAGTCCAATGCACAGACCAAGAATACTTGTATAGGAGTTCCCAAGTTTCCTCCTTACATGGGAGTCTCTCTCTCAATAAAATGCATGCTAACTGTTACACATACCCAACAAAGATCACACAGATCCAAGCAAAGCATGTAGTGTAGGATTCCCTTAACGAGGCTTATCCTCACAAATGCCAAGACATCCTACATCACAGGAGCCTATTTCATCTCCTGGCCAACCAAACAACATCCACACCAGCTGCAGCCAACCTCAATAGGGTACCCATGGACCCTGTTCACCAATGCAAATCTTGGGACCAAACATAACCTGCCGAAAGGTGTGTTTTGATTATCTAACTAAGGCCTAGTCGTACACCAAGACAAGAGTGATGGAGCCCATCATGCCCTAGATAGAGCTCAGCACCCTACACATGCCCTGCTCTTAATGTAGAGCATACTCCCACCCAAACTGAGAGTAATCCCCAAACAAAAAGCGTGAGAACACATACATGGGGAGACCACAACAGAGCTTTAACCAAAGGCCAAGTGTGCATTTAAACACCACAAACCCCAGCAGAGTTGAAAAGCTTTCATGATTTGACTACTTTGTACAGATTCTTTAATAGAAATCTTAGCACTTCTTTTTTTTTTGAAGAAATTCACAATCTATAAATAGACACAAAAAAAAAAAAAAACTTTACAAGATCCTCACAAGGCATGAGTTTAAGGCAAGCCCCATAGGGGAACCCTATATAAAAAAGTTTAAGAAAGCACAAGAAAAAGCACAAGGTCCAGCAACCGACAATAAATGAGTGACTGCCACTATAAGAGATAAAAAACCAGTTTGTGGCAGCCCACACTTCGGCAGCTCAGCACATTCCGGGTGGCATCCCACAGGGCTCACCTCAAAAGAGTAAAAAAAACAGGTTCATAACCCGTAGGAGAGAGAAAAACGTGTGAAGAGGGTGATGAGAAAGAAGGGATGTGGGATGCAGAAGATGAAGGAAAGAGGAGATGGAGACGAATTGGAGAGATGAAGAATTAAAGAAGAAAAGAGACGAGATTGGAAATCTAAAAGAAAGAAAGAAATATTAGCACTGGTATTACACCAGTTGCTACTAAAGTAGACTAAAGAATGAAGAAATGCATATCTCAATAGACTAAAGTAGCTCAAGAAAGCCATAAAGCTGCTCCTAACCTCTTTATTTCTGTAAAATTATCAAGCAATGTATTCAGGGACTATAAGCTCCTTCTTCTACTTTGTCTTGCAAGATGGCTCCCTTTCAAGGGCAAGGGTCCATTCACATCATGATCATCATTCAAGTTGCATAGGTATGCTTTAGTGGACATTTTGGATGACATCAGACAATTGCATCAGAGGGAAAGAAGTATTAATGGCCCAGACTATGGCATGCCAACCGATTCGTGGAAAGGTTCAAGAACTGCCAATTAGCCAACGGTCAATCTCAGAAGACAAAGCCATACACTACCCAGTATTTTCCTACCACTCCCTAGACTGCTGCTATCACTATGAACTTTGTTGTGGGACTTCCCCACAACACAAATGCTAGGATTGCATATTCGCCATGGTGGATTGTTTCTCGAAGACTGAAAACGTTTCTCTTGCAAGAAGACGCTCGATGCCATACATATTGTTGATCTTATCCTCAAGGAAATGGTTAGACTAGACAAACATAGCAGCGTTCGTAAATGAAAGCCTAGGGAACTTGCTAAAGATGCTTGTCGGAGAGAAACCTAGTCAATGGGATTGGATCCTGCCTCAGGCTGAATTCGTTTACAACAACACCATAAGCTAGTAAACTAGGATGCAGTGTTCGAAAAAATGCTAGGCAGCTGGCCTAAGGTCTAGCCCAGGCACTTGGCAGATGCCCTGAAGTGAAAATTTGCATATATGTGCTGTTCAAAAGCACATATATGCAGATTGTGTTAATTTTGTATATTTTTTGCATTTGTATGTATTCTAACTAACTTTGTCTATGCAAATACATGCTCATGAATGTTGAAACACACTCAAAACTTCAAATCATTGAAAATTTAGTGAAAAATAAATAAAAAATATAGACAAGTTCATGTATTAGCCTCCAACACTAAATCCAAACTATGGCATACTCCATA